GTGGATGAGATTGTGAGCAACCGGGGCTAGTTCAGGGCTTGCCTGCCCATGGCAGGAGTTGAGTTAAATGATCTCTAAGGTCGCTTCCAACCTCGGCCATTCTGGGATTCTATGAATCCTGTATCTTCTGGGATGTGGTTGGGGAGAGCACAGAGGTTTGTAGCAAGGAGGCCAGTTGTCTTGGGGCTCTGGCATCAGGGTTCCAGAAAGAATTGTGAAAACCAGAGCTGGATAGCTGGCTCTCTTATGCTCCTCTGACATTCCAATTTCTACGGGCGTAAACAAGGACTGGCAGAGAAGTGCTAGAGCTGAGAAGTAGCAAGGAGCAGTACCAGATGCTGAAACGAGGACTTGAAATATGAGTCTCCACTCATTCCTAATTGGGAACATTTGGGAGACGTTTCTGCTCTGTCCAGGGCTTCTGCCTTGAAGGTGCAAGTTGGTGAGTGAGGAGGGATCACTTAATTTCCCACGTTCGCTGCTGGGGCTCCCAACGCCTCTGAGCTGGGACTGAGCATGGCTTAGAAGCCAGGATGGGGTAGTCCCCAGCTCCAGTATGGTTTTACTGGGATGAACTAATTCTAGTCCCTCTGTCCCTTATCCCAGAAGCAGTGATGCCTCTCTCTCTGGCACCATAGGAAGTACTTGGGGATCCTCCAGCTCCAGGTGTTTTCAGAGCACAAGGATACTGTGGGCAGTCATGGCTCTGCGGGCTGTGTGCTGAGAGCTGCCGCCTCCGCTGGCAGCTCCACTCCAGTTTCAGTCACTGCTGGTTCGGCACACGCGTCTGAGTCAGCCGTTCCCGTCCCAGTTAGCACCTCTCGAACTAGGTTGAGAGCAACACCCCCCCGGGGACGCAGATCAAATGCTGTGGATGTGAAGGCACCATCTGATGGGATGAAGGAACTACGTGTAACGAGTGTGGAGGGAGGCGTCGTGTGCCCCAGCGTGGTGCGAGGACACGAGTAGGGGTTGACAGGGACACAGCTTGCAGGGAACGTGCTGCAGGACTATCCCGAGTGGGGGGGACCAAATCTGGGTGTCCACGCTCTAAGGACACTGGGCCAAACCTTACAAGGGAGACTGAGGAGAGCAGAGCATCCAAGCGAAAGAGGAGGAGGCCACACGAGCGTGCGGCCGTGAGGAGTCTGCGTTTGGCCCTAATCCTCACCCCCCGGCGAGGGCAGATGCCAGCGCTGACATAGCCTCAGTCCCAGCACTGGTACATTCCTGGACTGGCTCAGGTAAATGCCAGTGGGGTTAAAACTGGTCTGTAAAATACTCCAGTGATGTAAATTCCCTGGGTGGTACTCAGCATCCCAGACAACAGCCCTGCCCAGGGCAGCCTGCGTGGGTTTGGGGTCTTTGCTGACCCCGTTGTGTTCAGCAGCCCACCCAAACCCGGCCGGGGGGCGGCTGAACCCCCACACAGGAGACTCGTCCCCTTCCCCAGAGGTCTCTGGTGCAGCACAGGGGGCATATTTTTCCTCCTCTACTTTATTTTTATATTTTATTTTTTTTTTACTTCTTCTCTCACTCGAGTTCCTTTTGTTACTTCCATGAAACCCGAGGGGATTTAGTGCAGGCTGCGACTTTTCAGCGCAAGTGATCAGCCTCCAGGAACGGGCTGGCCGGCCTAATTTAGAGCAGAAGGAACCAAAAATGAATAATAAGTGAGACAAGCAAGCAGACAAAAAACAGTCGTGACATTTGCATAGAGGAGGCGAGCGAACAGTTGGCAGTGTGGATTGAAGAGAGGGGTTATGTTTTTTTCATGTAATTTGAGACTCTAATGATGGACT